CTCCTCATTCTGAGTTTCTGAAACCTGGGACTGCAGTATGAATTACCCTGGAGGAATATTTGAGGATCCTCCTCCTCCTTTAGTCTGTTCCCATTAGTAACTGCATTTCCTGGGGAACTACTTTTTGAAAACATGTTCAAAGTGGAAACTTTACTTCTGAAATGACTTTTATCCACGTATGTTAAGCTTCTGGCCCACCTCTAAACCCTGCTCCCACCCTTTTTGGTTTGTGGGCGTACCTGGAGCAGAACCCTGCTCTGGGACAGCAGAAACTTCTCAGCTTCTCTGTGCAGAGAGAGCTTTCCTTTCCTGTTGTTTCTTGACCCCTGGATAGAGAAGTTTGCATATGAGCAACAAAGAATGACCATAATTTGCTTTTCTGCCAAATAAAGGCATGCAGAAATCGCTTGATTTTTACTGCTTGCCTAAGTCTAGTGGTCCTCACTTAAAACAGCACTCAAGGTGAAATGTCACTGATAAAATTAGCAGATTGCTTTTTCATTCTCAGCTGATTTTTCAGGACATATCAGCTATGACAAACACATTATTGACTTTGAGCCAGGACCATTTCGTTTTCCCTGAAACTCCTTGGCTCTAGATGCAACTGAGAAGGAAGCCGACTTTGAGAATTTAATACTATTGGTAATGATGCTTAGTCACAAAGAAGAGTTTGGTCTCTCTGCACATTGGCCAAGGACCACATCAGCATTTGTCTTACTACCTAAGGCTGCACTTATCTCAGGGAGTTGAAGAGATTTGGAAGAACAAACAACAAGCAAAAGTAATCTTTATATTTAGCTCCCCTTTAAGTAATTGCCTGCATCTGCCTTGGGTGGGGCCTGATGAACACTAATAAAAATCAATGAAGTGGTTTTGTTGAGTGCCCATAAGGACAGCACTGTGGTAGGCACTGATGATGATTAGAATAAACATACATTTTGGATACTACCTTCTGAAAGCTCATTGTCTTCTACCCGGAGAGCCAAGGCTAACATTCCTATAACTGGCTTAAACTGCCCAAGACCATGTAAAGTGACAGGCAGAATTGAATGGGGATGACATGAGACTTTAAATACTATGGGAGTTCAGGGAAGAGGGAGAGAGTGATGATAAGTGAATTTTGGGGTAGTTGAGGAAGACCCCCTGGAGTAGACAGGATCTGAATAGGCCTTAAAAGATTAAATGGGTTTAGCCTGTAGGAAGTGAACGAGGATATGAGAGTAATAACCTGACCAAAGGCAGGTTGTATACTAAGAAATAAAATCTATCAGGGAGGGGGCATCATATGTGGAAGGAGTGACTGCCAAGCAGTGGAGTGTAGGCAGTACTTACTCTTAAAAATTTTGGAGCAGATAAATGTCAAAAGGAAGGAGGGCGGGTGTAGAAACACTTATGGAAGTGGCTTGGTCAGTGGAAAGATACCCACTGAGGTGTCGTTCAGAGGCATTGTAGTAATCCAAGTACAATGATGATGGCCAGGACCAGGTTAATGGCCGAGGAAACTGAGAAAGCAACAGTGGTATGAGGGATGTTTGGAATAAAATATCTGTCACCCTTGGTGGGCTTAAGAAGGATGTTCAGAAACAACTCAAAGAGGAGGGTTGGTGTTACTGGTCAAGGCTGAGAAATTACGAAGATTAACTAGATTGAGGGTTGAGAGTTCATATCAGTTTGAGAGATGAGCTAAGAAACACTGTTCAGAGAGTAGCTCCAGAATTTTTCAGAGCCACTGGTCTAAAGGTAAGAGTTGTGGCAGTAAAAATTAATATATGGGTGAAGTCTATAGCATGGGGCAAGGGAGCCAGGTCTCAGCAAGGAGAGAGGAGCCAGGAGGAGGAGGAGGATGGTGGGCTGGGAAGGTAGCCAGAATCCAGCTATGCCTCTGAAGGCTAGAGACTAGGGGACGGTAATTGCCCAACCTCACATGGCCTCTCATTCTTACCTCTTAAAAGCACTTTCCCACCAGTGATATTACTTGATCTTCCCAGCAGCTCAGCAAACCTGGCAGAAGGCAGAACAGAGCTCACCAGGGATCTGTAAAAGTTTGGTTTCTGGGTAAAGCCTTGCATATTGTCAGTGCACTTTATAGCTTTACAGTTGTTCACTTGAACATAATTTCACTGGTGATTATTATAATTCTACTTGAACCACAGAATTTCAGTGGCTTTCTTTTTCTATTCTGTATTCTTGTGTATTCATGGTAACAGGTAAAAAAGGGGGGATATTAATGCCACACCTTCAAAAATGTCTTCTCATTCTTGTTGTGTTGTACAAGTTAACTGCTGTTATAGTTCAGAATGGTGTAGCACACGGAGGATTTAAAAAAGCTGGTATCGATCCCCTTGGGTAGAAAGGATTAGACGTCATCTCTGCAAGCCCATTTTTATTCTTTATATTAATAAATGCTGTCTCCACTAGTTCTCTCCCTTTTCTCTTTTAGTTTTTGGTGCTTAGGGCTGTATAACACAAAACTCAACAAGGGCCTACCAAATAGACATTTAGGAATGGACCACTTTGTGTTCAGCTGGGGATAAAACAAGTGGAGAGGCCCTGGCCGGTATGGCTCAGTGGTTGAGCTTCAGGCCACTGCACACAAAAGGGTTGGGGGTTGGATTACCAGTCAAGGGCATGTACTTGGGTTGCACATTCAATCCCATCCCTGGTTGGAGCGCTGGAGGCATCTAATCGATGTGTCTCTAAAAACACTAAAAAAAAAAGTGGAGGGGTACCTCCTTTGTAAGGTGGCTGCTTTTCAGCGTATTTATGACCTTCACATACATATTTAGGTATCTGGGTCTGAGGCAGGTTAACACTTATTAGTACCCTCTATTCCGAGGTCCTTTCAGCGAGAATCTGGTTTCCTTACTCATAGATTGGGGGAAGATGGAGTCTGAGCTGGTATACAATTTATTCTAGCATAAATATCATTTTAATTTATTTGTCGGCCATATGATGAAGAAAAATGTCTTAATAGTGAGTGATTCAACGAGCTATTTTTTGTTTTGTTTCTTAGTAACTAAAGGGGGTTTCTCATTCACCTATAATGAACTTCACAAGGCTCCCTCAGAGAATAGGTTTTAACCATTGGTGAAATGGTTTGATTGTAACCGCACTGGGGTCTGTGGGTTCTTTTTTCTTCTTGCTCCTTCCAGGCAGAGACTCTTATTGCTGCATATCCACTATGCTCCAATGCAGTATTTATTTGATCCCAAACAAGAGTTTGCTTCTTGGACTGGTTCAGAGACAGGTCCCTCAGAATTGTCTTTTATTGGAGCATAAACCAAGCCTGGTTAATTTCAAAGCTACCCCCAAAACACAGTTTTTCCCTCTTTGTGCAGTTTCTGAGCTGCTAGTGGTACCTCGTATTGGGTCTGGAACAAAAAAAAAAGCTTGAATTGTTGACTGTTTGGTTCAACTACTGTGACATCGAATAGCACTGTTGGTGCTGTTAATTTTAAGTTAGGGGAACAAACCAAAGTAGAAAGCTCTTGAGCTCAAAGCGCTTGTTAACACATGCTCCTCCAAATTATGCGTTTGGTGCTATTGCAATGAATAAAACAAAAGAAATCATGAGCTGATTTTTATGTTAGTAACATAAATTCTTTCATTGTTACTTTCAGACACCAATGTGTTCCTATGTTCATTTTCTTTCATACAGTTTTCTCTTTCTCTCTCTTTTTTTTTTTTTTTTTTTTATAAAACAAAAGTCTGAAACATCTCAACTCTCTGCACTTAATTGGCAAAAGTTCTGTTATAAGATATAAAGGTTAATAGCTTTTTCTTTTAAAGCAATGAAATCTGTAGCTTGGTTCTGCTTTAAATACCAAATCTATGATTGTACATGAATAAGAACCGTAAGTAGCCAAATTCTAGAAGCTAAGTAGCCAAGTTAATATTTGTATAAAATATTTTATGAAATTGGCAAACATCATGTGTAGGTGTTGGTTTTGCAACCATCAGATTGCAATTACAGGGTTTGTGGATTTTGTTTTTAAAGATGAAAAAGTCTTTCTCTTGATTTTTCTTTTGCAGTCTGCCCCATAATGACAGTCCACTACCTGCCTGGCTTGACTTGAGTCATATGGTGTCTGTTTCTTAGTGTGGTTTCGTCTTTGCTTCTTCACAAGCTTCCCTGTAATTACATAGTTATTTGCTGCACTGAATTCTTTTAGCGACAATGAAAAACACATGTTTGTATTTTAATGTAGTCTTTAATTTTCAGGTTGTACATTAAAACATGGAGAGAAAAACCTTTCTGAGGAATACTTTTAAAAACCATTATGGTATAATGGGAGTATTCACTACTTACACATAATATATTTTTCCTCTAAACATTGTACAAAGAAGTGACAGTTGAGCTGAGCATATGTTAATAAAAGGTCTGCATTTTCCTGTGTCACTGACAGTTTCATTGGCTGTATATTCCTGAGATGCAAATAACCTTGGTTCTGTTCAAAGCTGTAATTAATCTGAATAGTTATTTTAACTGTATCACAATCTTTTAACTACTGAGAAGCTAAACATTTAAGATGGTGAATTTACTGTTCTGTGTGAAGGATGGTGCAATTGACGAGGGCACAGTCATCTGAGATGCTTGTGTGTGTTGGAGCTACACATTCTGTAGGCTAAAAATGGCAGAATCTATTTGCTGCTGTGTAAAATCTTTTAACTACCATTTATTTTAGCATCATGGCATGTGCAAATTCTTGCTGCTCAGTTAAGGGACCAGCTTCACAACTGGAGTTACAGTCTGCTTACAGCACTGCATCACAATGCAGCAAATACATTTTCCACATTAACCAAACATGACAGCTGAAGCGATTTCTAACCATGCAAGATGTCGGAAGTCATCAAAAATTCACATCAGAGTAATTGCAGTAGCTTGGGTCAGGGAAAAAAGTATCATAGCATTCCTTGTCTACATGTTGTCTCTCCCCCTCTTAAATCTTAACTTGGTACAGTCCGTTAACAATAAAATACCCTTCTGTAACCTATAAACTGTTACTCCCATCAGTTTGTGCCTTCAAACTGATGGCTGACTTCTCTGAATTTGTGTAGTGCAGCAGGAATGGTGATGCTGTGCCCTGGGGGCTGCAAGGCACCCTTTTTCAGGGGGCCCTGCAATTTCATTGTCTAATTGGGACTCTTTAGTGCATCAGTCATATCAACATTTGCAGGGTGTTCTCTTTTCCTTTTTCTTTTCTCTCTCTCTCTCTCTCTCCTCTTTTCCTACCCATTTCTCCCCACTTCTGGCTGTTTGGAGTGGGAAAAACTTGAGCACTGGTTCTAACAGAGCTCATCCCATGTGGAAGGTATGGAAGAACTGCAGTGACCAACAGCATCCACCGGTCTGAAACTACCTAAATTTGAGAGCTGCAGGTAGGATTGCCTTTGCCTGTGTTTGCCTGTGTTTTGTAAAGAAATTAAGATAAATGCCGCTAGTAAATAGAATGGCAGTGTGTTGTTGCAGTACCTCTTACAGATGGGGTCTTGGGTTGTTTAAAATGTTGAGACAAATTCAGAGGCATTTAACTCGTTTGATAGAAAAAGTACTTGATTCTCCTGAGAATTGTTCAAATTTGTGCCTTGTCATTCTAATATTTTTCTTAAAATACAAAACAAAACTGTTGGGTAGGTCAGAGAGATATTTGCTTAAAGATTTAAATGTTTTTTTTAGGATTTTTGCAGACTTCTTTTAGTAGTACGTAGTGTGGACTTTCTTTAGGATTCTTTTAAAAAGATGCATATGAAGTGCAATTCTTATTTGAGGTAAAATATTAAAGTAGAATTTTTCTTTGCTAAAACCAGATCAGATGACTGTGTGTGTGTGTGTGTTTTTATTTGTGTATGTGTGTATGTAGCATACCTTACCAAATAATTCAGTCATTTATATTTTGTTACAGGGAAAAAGTACTATTAGAGATAACTGGAATTATCTCCCAGGAAATGCTTTCGCATAAGGCTTTACATGAAAAAGAACTAAATAGTAACACCAAAGACGTGGACTCTTAAAGTTTCTTTTCTTTTTAAAATTCATCCTCAAAAGAGTATGCTAGGAGTCCTTTAAGTGTATTTTAAATTTTTGGTGTGGAAAATGTGATTTGTATAAGTGAAATGAAAACTTCTAAGTCATGCAAGTGTTATCTGGAGGGTAATAAAATTGTAAATGTTGCCTATAACAATTCTTTTAATTCAGCATTAAAAAGCAGCTTACTAGTTGTATATGCTGCTTACAATGCTGTATAGCTTTTTATCCCAAGGAATGCATTTGTATCAGGAGACCCGTAGAGTCTGGACTTTTTCCTCAGTGGGGACTTGGAAATTGCTCACCTAGTTAAAAGATATAGCTCACTTCAGAGGTGTGGGACTTTTTGTACCCTTAACAATAGGAAGACTTGAGGAGCTGTCAAGTGGGAAATGGAGGAGGGCTGCTCAGGGAAGTGAGAGGAACTGTGAGAATTTCACTTGTCTAGGCATTAGAGGTCTGGATTTTCCCAAGACAAGGATTCCTTTAAAACTCTGACCCAGTGCAGCATTGCAAAGAATTGATTTCTGAGATGAGACAATGAGCTGTGGTTTGCATTTTGTAAAGATGGAGGAAACCTCTAACACTGACCCTGCATGGGAGATGACTCAATTATCCGTGCCTGGTACAGTTGCAAATTATTTTCCTTTGTCTGAAGTGGGTGGATGCCAGCGCCTTCATCAGAGCTCCTTAATTTAATGTATGGAAACTGTCTCAGCCACCATTTTTAACAATTAGCTGTATCACTGCTGAGGTGAGCTAGGTTCTGAAGGCAGCTGCAAGGCCATTTCATTTATATTAGGTTCTGAGGCATGAGAGCTTTGTTACTGTAAAACTCAGAAATGAATTTGCACACTGCATGCAAGAGTTCTCTAGGAGGGTGGAGAACATTCCCAGAAAGAAAATGGAATCCTTTTGTCTACAGTAAGTATTTCTCATACTCATATAGCGGTGAGAGGTTTGTCTTTGGTTGAATGGGCAAAAAAGACTTTAAAATGAGTGCTGCAAATGTTAAAGGCGTAACAAAGGTTCTTAGGTATGTATTTTTTATGTATGTGTTAGAAACCAAGTGTGTTATATATATGTGTATGTGTGTGTGTGTGTGTGTGTGTGTGTGTATATATATATATATATATATACTTGAACTATAGGTTTTGTGAATGATTTTAACACATGCTTTTAATTAATTTTGCATTTTTAATTTAAGGTAATGAGAGGTATGAATTTATCACTAGTCAGATTAAAATGACACTTGAGAGGAAAAAATAAATCTAAATATGGTATATTTGAAAGAGTCTTCTTTTCACTGTCTTTTCCAATCAGTTTATTTTCCATTTCTAAAGAAAATTGCCAGATTCTAGGTGTTTTTTTTTTTTTTTAGAAAGCACTTTCATGATCTGTAATAGCTGATTAAAATATATAAGAAAAAATGTTTTAACAAAACAAGATTTTGCCCTAAAAGATCAATATATTGGTTCTTTCACTCATTAATGAGGATAATTTTTAGTGCCTTCTGATTAATTAATAGTTGTGACTTCAAAGTTACTTGTGGAAAACTCTTGTTTGTGATTGTAAGCTTAGAAATCTTGATTCTTAAAATGAATTGGATTTGACTGAGCTAATTCCTTTGTTCCTTTATGCTGTTACTTAGAGGAAACAAGTGGATTTTAACTTTGATTTGTGTTTATCTTTTTAAAGGCACTTAACCCTGAAGAATTTATAGTAAGTGCATTTTACAGTAAACTGTACCATGAAGAATTTGCTCAAAATGCTTTAGTAGCCGTTCCAGGAGATGATTCTTCACAGAACTGGGTGCTGGGAAATCCTTTTTAACTTGGTATCAAATTTATAAAGCCAGCCCTTCTTCCAGGTCTGGATGTACTAGCTGTTGGCCATCCAATTCACTGAGCGTTGGTTTTTAATTAATAGATATTTTTGAAATTAGAGGAGAGGAGGATTTTCACATCAGTCTTTTCATTGAAATAGTTTCCTGTTTAGAATCCAAAAAGATTCCATAAAGCTTACAGAAATCTTATTTATGTTTGCAGCATATAAAAATCTAGATCTCTGTATAATATTTTTAATCCCGAGAAGAACATTTAATATATTAATTGCTTAGATATATGGTATATAGGTACATAGAATGCAAAGGGAGTCTTTTCCCTTCAGTTTTATAAGGCTTGTACTTGGAAATAAAAGAGTGTTAGGGCAGCAAATTAGAACTCCATTTTACTTGCAGCTTTGTGTGCACAAAATGTTTGGTTGGATGACATGAAATATGTCAGCCTTCCTTTGAAATGTTTACACTGAAACTGGGTTGAAGATTCTGGTCTGATTTTCTTTCTCTGGCTTTGTGTAAACTGTGTAGTAGGTACTCAGGGGAGACAGCAGAGGCCCAGTTGCTTCTCATTTTCTTTGCCTCCACCATGGTCTACTCAAGTTGGGCTACTGGGAAGAGACTCTCCTTTCTGATACTTGTAGGGGATTCTCAAATCTCTTCATTCTGAAATCTCTTCAGTTTTCTCATGAAATTTTAGTCTGACTGGAGGTAAAGAGTCGGGGGCTGGTTATTTTTGCTACAAAAAAAAAAAATGTATTCATGTCAAATGTTTGAATGCTCTGGCAGTGGGTGTCATAATGTAGATAAGCACGTCCGCCGGCCTGCTGGAATGCTTCTGCGGTGGCACTAAGATGGCAGTGAGGAGGAAGGGAAATGGCGGCACCAGGAGCTCTGTGATAAGAGGTGACCGCATGTGAGTTATTTTTTCCTTCAGTCAAGTTTGAAGTCACCCTAGTAACACTGTCGTGCCAGTTTACAATTCTTTTTTCCCCGTTAGAAGATAGACATTGTAAGATGTTCCTGAAGTAAAGACTTAATTAGCATTTATATCTAGATAGCTTCTGATTGATGCTTTTAAAAAATTGTTGACAAACACGAAAAATTTTAAATAGATACTTTATATCAATACTTCTGAAATTCCTTGCTTTGTGCTTCCTCCTTCCTTTTTTTAAATGTAGAAACTTACTCCTTCCAGTATAAGATGGATATTTAGAAAACAGAAGACAATATGCTTCTCCTTTATGGAAAGATGAAACTGGCATTGCTATGAGAATTTGTTCTTTGCATATTTGGTTCTGATTTTCATTCTTGTTCTTGTGGGCTTTGGTTATTTTATACATAAAATATGTCAGCTGCCTTCAGAAACATATCGTTTATTGTATTTCTTTTGTGGTTCAAGGTACGGGTTGTTTTGGAAGTGATCTACAGTTATAGTGATAGTGACTATGTTACTTTCTTACCTGTTCCCACCTGTCATGGAGTTAGAATTTCTGGAGCTGGCTTTTGAGTTTATGTAATACAGTCAGCTCATCTTACAGCTAAGCAGGGTTTACTGTAGTTAAACAACTTTCTCAAGGTCATACATGTAGAAAGCAGTCAATTTTGCTTTAAATCCAGGCCACCTGATTCCTGATCTGTGCTATGCCTTTATCTGCATTTGACCCCATCTCTTTTTTTTTTTTGTGGGCTTATTGGTGACTGATGGATCTAATAGGTTGAGCTTTTGGCAAAATTTTACCCAAAATGACTTAATTGAGCTGTGCATGGAGTCTTCCTAGGCCTGTATTATAGTAGATGGTATACATTTATAAATGTATTACTCATAAACAAACGTTTAAACATAAGATACATCCTGGAAAGCAAGCTTTTAGGTCCATTGTGTTGACTCGGTGTGAAGGGTGAAGACTCCTAGAATGGTTGCGGGCATCACATTCATCTCTTCTGAGCCAGGATGGAACTGGGTATTCTGACGGGTCTTTTAACTCTAGGTGTGAGGGGTCCCACAGTGCAAGGTTTCCCCTTCTCCTCTTGTATGTATGGGTGTGCTGGGTGAAAGATCTTAGCTCCCTGTAGGTTTGGGGCAATTTGTATTTGAAAAATGGTCTTGCCCTGGCTGGTTTGGCTCAGCTGTTAGAGCGTTGGCCTGCGGACCAGAGAGTCCTGGGTTCGGTTTCCACTAAGGGCACGTACCTCAGTTGCAGTTTTTCTCTGGCTCCGGTAGGTGTCGTATGGGTGGCAGCCACTCAGTGTGTCTCTCTCACGTCGATGTTTCTCTCTCTGTCTTCCTCCCCCTCTCCCTCCCGCTCTGTCTGAAGATAAGTGCAAAAATGTCCTCAGGTGAGGATAAAAAAAGAAAAAGAAAAATGGTCTTGCCCTGGCTGGTTTGGCTTAGCGTTTAGAGCATCGGCCTGCAGTCCAGAGAGACCCAGGTTCGGTTCCTGCTAAGGGCACGTCCCTCGGTTACAGTTTGTCCCTGGCCCTAGTTGGGTCGTGCGGGAGGCAGCCACTTGATGT